GTGACCCCTTTGGCAGTCGAATGACCCTTTCACAGGGGTCGCCTAAGACCATCCTGTATATCAGATATTTACATGACGATTCATAACAGTAGCAACATTACAGTTATGAAGTAGCAACGAAAATAATTTTATGGTTGGGGGTCACCACAACATGAGGAACTATATTTAAAGGGCCAGAAGGTTGAGAACCAGTGGTCTAGCCAAAGGCCTGGCTGGGGGGAGAGGGTAGTATTTAGTAATCCTGCTAGCAGGGAGGTGGCCCTCTTAAACTCCATTTCTTAGTCCCAGTCTCCCAAGAGATTAGATACCTGTGACCAGATGCATTTGTAGGATAACCTCACACTTCATTGTATCTTGAATGCCTTTTAATCCATACCAGAGACCAGTGTGGGGAAACAGACCCCTGTGTAAATGAGCCACCATGCACTCGATGTTTTCCTCCTGTTACAAGTCTCCAGGGAGTCAAGAGTCTTTAGTTACATGTATGACTATAGTTACTAGATAATCTAAGATTTACTGTGTGTGATCCTGCACAGTTAAGACCAAGATATAGTTCCTCTCTTTTTGATGGGAAATAATTTATCTTGCAAGAAAGAAAAAATAAAAACATTTTAAAGAAGGAAAGGAAGAAAGAATAGAGTCTGTAAAACTATGATTACAGCTAATAAATATTAGATCTATCCAACTTCTGAGGAAATTTAAAAAAAAAACAAACCATCTCCCTTTTTTGGTTTGTATTTTGAGAGCATTTAAGTCAAGGAAGGGAGGATTCATCCATAAAAATCACTTAGAACTAGACCCAAAAAAGGATGTTGTATGCTTCCCGTAATTATCTGAGTGTGGTGAATCAGCTGTGGCTCTCTTGCTTCACAGTGACCTTATTAACAGGAGCTCTCTCCTTATTAAGGAACTGTAACACCATGGCTCTCAGCCATGTTTCTCTCCCAGTCACAAGATGTGGATGACAGGTGCTCACCATTGGAAGTAGTTCTTTTTTTTTTTTAAATTTTAAGAAAGTTTTTTTTTTTTTAGAATATATTTTATTGATTTTTTACAGAGAGGAAGGGAGAGAAATAGAGAGTCAGAAACATCGATGAGAGAGAAACATCGACCAGCTGCCTCTTGCACATCTCCTGGAGATGTGCCCGCAACCCAGGTACATGCCCTTGACCGGAATCGAACCTGGGACCTCTCAGTCCGCAGGCTGACGCTCTATCCACTGAGCCAAACCGGTTTCAGTTCTTTTCTGAGGGCTTTCTCTGTAATCTAGAGGAATCCAGGCTGAGGAAGGGAGAGCCGGGCGTCTGTGCTTTGATCATACAGATAAGACGACATTCCTTGAGGAATTTCCATTAGCACTCCGGAAACACCTGTAAAGGTTGGGTTATCATCTTGAGAGAGCTTTTGTTATTCAGTGTGGGAAACTTAGGTTTATCTTAAGGACATTTCTTGTGATTAAAGTTCATTTAAAACAGTTATTCATAAATTCATATTTGCCCCAGATCATCTCATTTTGACAGCTTGTTGAGTTCCAAGTTGAAGATAAATTCTTCTTGTTTCCATTCTCTTCTCATTAAGAGTCTTCCTAGAACTAAGGAATTTCACAAAGATTCTTGTATTTAATTGATTCTCTCAGTATTATCTTATACCTAAGGAACCCCACTGCAAAATAGGGTACAGGAAAAGAAGCTTCCCAAGTCCTCTGCTTCCCAGAGTTGAGTTAAATATCAGAACTGTGATGGCAAGTTATTCTGATCCTTTCTGCTTAGGGTTTCGCTATAATATCAAGGTTCATCAGCTTGGTAGTTGCTGAGTTAATAGGAATGAGTGTGGAGAGACTGAATCTTGCCAACACTGTGTATTTCACTGCTTTTAGCTCTATGCTAGTTCCTAAAGGTGAAACACTTCATAAGCTTGTGTGCTTAACAGGAAACTTATTGCCAACATATGTAAATACCAACAACTGCTGTATTGTCCAAAACAGCTAATTAGTTAAGCTGTATGTTGCCATCATGGTTGGTCTCTGTACTCTTTCTCTTAACCTCAGGGCAGAGACCTCAGATACTCATGTTTTTTCGCTCTCCTTTTAGCCCCACTCAATTCAGTGAGCTTTAGTAAATTTGCAGAGTTGTGCAAGCATTACTATAATCAAATTAGAGAACACTTCCATTGCCCCAAAGAAGACCCCCAATTTCTAGTTGCATCCATTCCTATCCCTACCCCAGCCCCTGACAAACACTCATTTACGTTATGTCTCCATAGATTTGCCAAGTTTCTGTACATTTCTTATAAATGGTATCATACAATATATAGTCTTTCATTGATATTTCAACATTTTTGTTTTATTTTTTGGTTAATCCTCACCCAAGGGTATTTTTTTCACTGATTTTTAGGGAGAGTGGAAGAGAGAGGGAAAGGGAGAGAGAAACATCAATGTGAGAGAAACACATTGATTGCTTGCATCCTGCATGAGCCCTGACCAGGGCTCAGGTAGGGAGGAGCTTGCAACCAAGGTATGTGCCTTGACTGGAATTGGACCCGGGACCCTTTAGTCCACAGGCTCACGCTCTATCCACTGAGCCAAACTGGCTAGGACGATATTTCAGTATTTTAGACATTTAGTTTACATAAGAGTTTGAGTCCATCTCTGACTCTTGAACACGTTCAGATTTTGTGTAATCATTTCTAAGATTCAAGTGTAATAAAAATAGCACTTATATCTATATGCTAGTATAAAAGCCTAAGCGACCGTTATGACCAAATGACCGGTCAACTGGTTGCACACTGACCACCAGGGGGCAGATGCTCAACACAGGAGCTGCCCCCTGATGGTCAGTGCACTCGCACAGCCAACCTCCCGTGGTCCCTTTCCCCCGGCTGGCCAGCCCCCATCAGCCCCGATCCCCGGCCCTAATCCGGACTAGCCGATACAGTCCCTGATAGGCATTGATGGCCAGCCAGGCCAAGGCATCCCACCCGTGCACGAATTTGTGCACTGGCCTCTAGTTCTAATATGAAATCAGGGTTGAGAACCATATGTCAGTTATGGTTTTGCTTCCACAACTAACCAGTTCTGTATACAAGGAGAAGGGCACACATGTTAAGTCCTAACGATTTGTACCCATCTAGTACTGTATAGTATATGAAGCACTTTTACATAATTTACATGCTTTCCTAGGGACCCATTTTATACTGTAGGAAAGACTTCAAATAGCAAGTGACTGATCTCAGATTATGCAACTGTTAAGAGGAGGTAGACATCTGCCCTTAAATTCACTTTCTCACCACCCACAGTGTTTACATTTGAGTCCTCAGTTGAAATGGTGGACCTTGAATTAGTTCATCTTTAGAGCTCTGCTAGTTATGTATTATGAAGTACTTTTTGCTTGTGGCTGTGTTCTGTAAATTAGCTTGACAATTCTGAAGGTACTGATGACTGCATTCAAATGTCAAAGCTCTCAGATTTCTTTGGCCTTCCTCATGAAGACGTCTACCATGCACATCACACTCATATAGCCTTTTAGGGTACTTGGAGTAGGGGGAAACTGGGGCATTGTGTATTGTATGGGATCAATATGGATGTAAATAAGAAATGTAGATGGACACTTTATACCTGTACCTAATAATTACTGACCTTTATGTATAAGCTTTGATTATTGACTAACTGGTAGGTGATAAATGAGTTAGATTAGGTCCAACTACTATAAAAGAAAAACAGTCACTAGATTTTATTATATTGGTATTATGTCATATTTGTTATTGCTCTTAATAAGTGGTCTATTGCCAGCCTTAAAAATAATTTCCAGCATATAATACCTAGATTTTTCTAATAAGTATATTTATCTTAATAAGCTTTTACTTCTGTTATGTTTCTATTTTCTCTTTAATATTTAGCCATTAAAGATAGTGGTCAACTGTTATAAGTTTCATTTTGTAAAATATGTATTACAAAAATTAAGCATTTATTATTTCATAGAAAAAATATCTCACATTAACAAATACAGAATAGCATTGAAATTTATTGACTACAAAGTCAAGTTTACACTCCATCTGTTAGATAATATTAGAACATGTTAACAATTCTTTATATACAGTTTCATTTTTTTCTATTGGCAGTTTGTACCTTTCTATTAGAATTATGTTGTTTATTTTTAAATCTTTTACTTTTTTTCTTTGACTCTTTTAAAAAAATATTTTTTATTGATTTCAGAGAGTGAGGGAGAGGGAAAGCGAGCTAGAAATATCAATAATGAAAGAGAATCATTGATCAGCTGCCTCCTGCACACCCCGTACTGGGGATGGAGCCTGAAACCTGGCTATGCGCCCTGACCAGGACTTGAACCTGACCTGGTTCATGGGTTGATGCTCAACCAGTGAGCCAGGCTGGCCAGGCAGAATCATTTTTTTTTTAAATAATCAAATGCAATATAATAGAAATATAGTAGGTTAAAGCATTATCTTTATCTGATTTTGGTTTTAAGATAGCTTATGAACATTTTGGTTTAATTTTTATAGTTTAGGTAGTTTCTAGATCACAAATCATTTTTATGTGCCTTCTAAACATTCAAGCATAATAATTGGTGACTGATTTTTGTGGTTATTTTAAAATTCCAATATGGTATTTTTAATGACAGTCAGTAGGGTGCACATACAGTTAAGTAGTTCCTATGATAGATATAAGGTACAGTCCATACGTCCATATAAGATAGAAAAAATAAATAGCACATACACAAGCACAAGCTATACATTTTCTCCTAGGAGTCCAATCTCTAAACTAAATAACAAATGTAGAGTAGAAAACCTGGTTGGCTCAATTTCAGAAATTCGAAAATAAATAGTATAACTGGATGGATTTGTGGGGGGGGGGGGGGGGGGAGGGCGGAGACTGTCAAGGAAATTCCTGAAAGACAATTTAATGAACTTCAGAAGCAACTGGCCAGCATATCTTAACCAGGCAGCATGCGCAGTAACAGTAGCCTATGAAATGTGAATCCCGTTAAGTCGTATTGTCAGTAAGCAGGTAACCAGGGTGGGAAAAGGAGCCATCCCAAAATCTTCAGCGGCTGAGGAAGCTCTCCCATTGTCCTCATTCCTGGAATGTTACTCATCCTTGGCTTTCTGTAAAAAGATAGACCAAGTGAGGAGTGTGAAGTATGGAACAGAGTAAAATCAGCTCTGTAAAAAGTTGGCTGATGGCCACATTCTGCTAGAGACAATGGGAGCTTTAGAAGACATAGAATGTGGTCTTGTCCCTTAAAGTTAGCAGTCACTGGTTCGTGGTGGGATCCTGTGAGATATTTTCATAGTATTTAATAGCCCATGGTTTTGAGATTTTAGAATTACTACATTTTTAACCAACGATAAAAGAACGTAAAACTTCATATAGGTTGTGACTGTTTATTTGTCAGTATTGTCTTGACAAATAAGCATTATTTTTGTTTTTATTTAATTAAAACAGTATAAAATCTGAGGTTTCCATGTAGTTTTTTAAATCTGTGGCTAGCAGATAATTCACATATTTCAAGCCCTCTTTAAATGTTCCTGTGATAAATGAGCAAAAATTAAGCTCTGTAATGACTTACTATTGATTTTTTAAATAAAAGTGCTGCTACGATTTCAGGTCCTTTTGGAATAAATCATGGGATTGAGCTTCATTCAGATGTGGTGGAATATGCCAAGGAAAAGCTGGAGAGCTTCATCAAAAATAGTGATAGCTTTGATAAGTAAGTATTTATACATATAGTTTTGGTTTTATAGCACTTCTGAATAGATATGTGACATGTCTGTTCCTCAGTAGTATTCATTGACCCTAAATTGTTCCAATTGAATCAGCAAAAGTCAATGTGGTATAAAATGAGAAAAGAAATTAACATAAAAATTATTCTGTGATACAAACTTTTATTCTTTGTAAATCTATAGTAAGTTATCAATAAATGAAGTAACTTATTTTTGAACCTTATGCTTCTGTCACTTATTAATAAACTCATTATCATTCATTAAACATAATGCAAGTCCCTTTTCTGAAAATATAGAGATGCTTGATTAGAATGCTTTCCTGGAACTGGCTTTATACTTTCGGGATAGTAATTTAATAGCTCTGCCTTCTTCAGTTGTCACACAAGAATGATACCTGTTAGCATACAAGGGACTTTCTTAAAAATATTCAATTACTTTGTAATATATCTAGACGAAATTATGATAGAAATACATTGATCTATCTTGTGATAGGGTAGTGTTTGAGAAACTTGTTTATAAAACCATTGTTTTAAACTCGTACTTCCCCTTTGAAAAAATGCTGCAGTCTTTTGTTCTTCAGCCGACAGGGAAGTCTGTTTGGTGCGTAATATTTCTAACATTCAGTAATGATAACACCATGGACCAAGAGCTTCTTATGCTAAAGTATGAACTCTGAAATTATGTAAAATTTGGAGGGCATTTATTTTTCTCAGCCAGTCATATTTTCAAAGAACATTTAAAAGGATAGAAATCACAAGCTTGCAACTTAGTCATTTTATACAACTAAGTTTTAATGCAAAACCATTCAGAGTTCCAACTCAGCTTGTTGGGAGTAAGCCTTCCTCACTTACCTCTAGGCCCTGACCATGACCCTGGAGGTGAGAAGCTTGGAGGAGTCTGAATCAGAGCTGAGAGCTTTTTTCTAGAGTTTAGACTTGGGAACAGTGCCAAAAAGGAAGCCAAGAAGGCCTGTGCACGTCTGCTGGAGTATACTTTTCTTTCTTGTCCTTTCTCTGCCTCTCCTCCCGCAGACCCTTGTCCTTGTCTTTCATTCCCCTTTGCCATTGCCACTTTTTATCTGTCCTCTGGCAAGAGGCACTTGATTGGTTGAAGAACAGGAAACTGTTATTCTGCAGTAAAATAGGGGAGGCTTTGTGTCTACTTAGATGTGGTTGTAACTATTATTAAAGACCTCAGTCGGGCAAGCTTGGGAGAATTTGAAAGTGCTCAGAATTTATTTTGTTCTATAATTAGTTCAGTGGCTTTGAGCAAGCCACTTGAAATTTCTGTATCAATTTGCTGAATGCCATCCTTTAGGTTATTTATGCTTCCCTTTATAAATGAACATTTAATTCATATTTTGAATTATTTTTCAAGTGCTTACCGTGTTGGTTCATATATTGTTTCCAAGAATAACATATTGTTAGAAACAAAATAGTTTTTAGCCCAAGTAATTTTATAAGAAATTGGTGTTCAATTTTAGCATCCTTTTGTATTTCTAGCTGTCTTATGAATAGATTAGTAACATGTTAATTGCTTATAATGTGGCTATAAATATTTTATATCATTTATTGGAACTTATTTTAAACTTATTGAACTTTTATTGTTTTAAGATTTTTGTTTTGATGCTAAAACTATGTATATGTTAGGACCTTTTGAATACATTTGAACTTAAAAGAATATAAAAGTAATGTTAGTAAAAGTAAATGTTTAAGGCCTATTGTAAGGTCTTTATATATATGTGATAGTAATACATTTATTTTATGTATCAATATATAATGACACAGATAATGCAGTTATTAAACAAGAGGAACAAACCTCAGGAAGTGTCTTGAATCACTGAAGCATCTCTGTACAAGTATTTTTGGAGCTCAGCTGCCAAGTGGGTGTGGTTTCAGGAAACAGTAAAGTGCCATAATTTAAAGCATTTTTGTGTTGATGTAATTTAAATAGCAAATAATCTGTAACAGATAAGTTTGATGATTATATATATTGAAGGGTCTCAATTTTTCTAAAACTGTATTTATCTATATATATAAAAGGCTGATATGCACAGTGTCCCCTCGGGAGTTCGACCGAGAGACCGGGAGTTTGATCGCTCGCTATGATGTGCACTGGCCACTGGTGGTGGTGTGGAACGAAGGAAGGTCCTGGCTGGCAGCTGGCAGCTGGGGAAGGCCAGGCCTAGGGACCTTACCTGTGCACAGATTTCGTGCACCGGGCCTCTAGTATAAATATAAAATGATCGAATTTCCTTGGCTGTATTTCATATTATTGCATTATGCAAATTTGTTATTCATAAAATGATGAATCATAAAATGTGATGTGACTGATCTAAATGTCTCTTTTTAATTTCTAAATGTCTGGTCCTTTTCATTGAAATAACCAGTCAGATTTTAGTTGTTTAATAATATAGTTGTTTAATAATATAGTTGTTTCTAAAGTGTTGCAACTAATTTTTAAAACTGATTCTTATATTAATTAACTGGTCTGAAAAATTAGACAGTTCTAGAAATATTATCTATTCTGGTTTTCAAAGAGTATTCTGAAATATTAGTTACACATTTCAGATTATAAAATTATCTTGTCTATAAAGAGCAGTAGGTACTGGGAAAATAATTTCGTTTTGCATAAGGCAGTGAGTGGTTGGAAAGTAAATAATCAGAGTTGCTGAGTCATTCATTGGCTTTTTTTATATCACTTTATTTTAGAGACAGAAATTATAAAGATAACATAATTTTCTTTTAGTGTTTGATGATTTTCTTGTAATTTTTCTTGATGTTTATGGATAATAATTCTTATTTTAATTTTTTAATTAAAAAATGGTCATGCAAAGTGCTTTTAAAAATCTGATTTCCAATCAGTTTTCATTTAATTGTGTCATCAAAATACGTATTTTAATTTTAAAAATATAAAGTAACTCAGGAAAATTGATTGCTATTTATGCATTCCTTAGTAAACATTATCCTGGATTATGTGTAACATGGAGAATAGATAACTCAAACATAATAGTCTTCCAATCTTGTTCACCCTGTTGGTTTGGATCTTTTTTATCAATTCCTTTTTTGAAAGTATTGTCATGTCACGATTTAAATTGAATCTTGAAAGCTTTCTTATATATGTCTTATGGACCCCATAGTAAACTTCCAAATACAGTAGGTGAGGGGAAAAAAATCGATGAACTGCTCTACGTTACAATATATAATGTCAGATGACCTTTTAAAAGATACAAATGTGTGTTTTTGTGTGTGCTTTATAAAATAAGCTTGGTTCCTGAATCTTCACAGTAGTATTCCTTCTTTTAGAAACAATAGCATTATAATGCATGTACTTTCAAACTTTTTTCCTACACTTTAGACCTGTAGCAACAGATGAAATAACTTGGAGGAACTACTCTGGATTTATCATACTTGGAGATGGGAGGAATGGGGCTCTCTTGTATGGTTTATTCCTTTGCTCTACCTAAGTTATCCCCAAATTCACTGAAATACTGTTATAAAACTGACATTTGATGTCAGGGATCCTCTAAAACATTGGCAGAATTTTCCAGTAAAGGACCAGGTAGTCAATATTTTGGGGATTCCGAGGTTAAATGGTCTGTGTTGCAATTGATCAACTCTGCTATCATGGAGCAAAAGCAGCCACAGACACTATGTAAACAGATGGGCACAGGGCGTTCTCTATGTGCGATGTGCCCTTGAGTCGGCTCCAACCCCTGGTGACCTTCTGAATGAGTGATGTCCACAATGTTCTGTGACAAAGAGCCCTGCTCAGTTCTTATACACGCACTCCTATGGCTGATTTTACAGTCAGTCCATTTCATATCTGGTCTCGCTCTTTTGCTGCTGCCTGTTGTTTTCCCCCAGCATCATTGTCTTTTCCAAAGAAACTGCTTTCTCATGATGTGCATGAAGTAGGACAGCTTCGGTTTTTGTCATTTTTGCCTCCATCAATGTTTCAGGCTTGATTTGCTCCGAGACCTTCCTGTTCATCTTTGTGGTGGTCCAGGGTATCTCGTGTAGACCTTATGTATAAAAACAAGCAGCAGGCAGGATTTGGACTGTTACCCACAGTTTGCTGATCCCATTCTGCTCTTCACATAAACTTTCTAGAACATTTTATTTAGCTCCTATGGTCTAGACAAGTCTGGCTTTCATGAGAGAAGAAGACGGTTGGTAAAGGTCAAATTATATGAATCAGTTTTGTGCATACACAGTAAGCAAAATAATCTCTCCAGGTGTAGTTAATTGGAAGAGTAAGTCAATTAAAGGAGTCTGAATAGTAACCCTTTACCCTATGATACTTTGCAAATGAGTTAGGAATTGGTATAGCATTTATTTATAGCTACATTTATATATTCATATAATGTGTAAACGTGCATGTAGTTCACTGGCTTCCTAGAGTGCCTATTTTGGAGCGTGCCATTTCCCTATAAGACAATAGATCCTATGCTGTGAATTACTATTGGGGGCAGAGATGAGTGGAAGAGGCAATGCACTCCTCAAATTTAGTTGAGGTGTAAGTTTTAAATTAATTTCAGAGCTAGTATAGTATTTTACTATAGGAAATTTAATTGATATATGGCAATGTGTAAGTGTCATAATTTTGTTGTCAATGATAGGTTTTTATTTTTCCTGTGCTCTGATATGCTTTGGAAAATTAATACATATATTTTGTCAACTTTGCCTAGTCTTTAAGAGAATTATAACACACTTGAAGTGGTTTCACTATCTAGAAATATATATTAATTGCCGGGAGCCGGTCCAAGGTCACCTCTCCGAGAAAGGTTGTTTCCCCAGGTAGGGAGTTTCCCCTGAAGTTAGGGAGGGAGTAAAACCTCTTAACTGCCAGGCGGGTAATTAATCACTTTAACTACGAACAATCATGCTTAAGCTACATAATCTTTACTCCCTGGAATGGAGATAAGAAACCCTAACCTTAACTTGGCTAGAAGACCTAGACAGAACTTGGCTGGAGATGCTGGCTA